TTTTTTTTTTTTTTTTTAAATTTAGATTAACGCATACTCTAAATTTAAGGGTGGATTTGAGGAATTGTGTGACGAGATTTCTGTTGGAATGCATTTTAACGCCGTTCCAGCTTGAATAAGACACCATTATAGTGGAGACACCCTTGATGATAGAGTGGTAGTATCCCGGCATGTGAATGCTCGTTAATCCTTTCCAATCAGTGAATGTGTTGTTCTCATCAATCCCATTAATGGTGCCACCATCACCAACAAAGTGTTTTGCACATGCCACCACTTTGTCTCTGCAAATATTTTTGATACCAAGCAAATGACCAGTTGATCACATCATATATAAAAACTTCAAAAAAATTTTGTCCCTAAAATTCACAAGCAATCATCAAAACAACAAGTTTAGTTTTGAACTTACTTTCCACCAACATAAGGGACGCCTTTGACGGGAGGTTCTCCTTGTAAACCGTAAATAATGTCCGTCATTTGTTCGGCAATCTTGTGGTCTTCACTGTAACTCTCGTAGCATCTACCCCATCTTGGGTCTCTACAAACCTATACATGAAAAAAAGAAAAACAGAATGGTTAAAATATTAATCTATATGTGATCAGTTTGAAGCCTGGCATTTATAAACTTGATTAATAATTTGGATTTAGAAAAATATGTTTATTCATCCCTTATATATGATGCATTGGAGCACGTAGATCAGTAATGTCACTTAAAAATGGAAAATTAATCGTAAATTAGTACGCACCGCAATGCAGGGCGCAAATGCATAGGGAATGCCGGTAGCTCTAGTTTCGACTGCTGTTGCAGCTCCAATCCTCTTAACTAGCTCTGGATCTCTGCAATGTATAAGCACGACAATGTTGCACGTACGTACTCTATTAATATCAATCACTTCAAAACAAGTGAAGTAGACGTGAGTAATGAAATACCTGGTAGCTCCAAGGCCAACATTGTGTGGAAAAATGGTAGCTTTATACAAACTATTATGTCCATGCACAGAGTCAATTGCGTAGAGCATTGGAATCCCGAGCCTGCTCGAGAGGGAACCTTATTGTTGGTACCCGTTGACCATGTCAACCCACTCCTCGGGTGTGGCCCTGTGATCTTCGCGAGGCGTGCTGCCAGCCGCACTAATTATGCTGCCAATGGAATATTCTTTGAGAATCTGGGGAGTGACATTGGGCCTATCGATCTGGGCCAATTGCTCGATTTTCTCCTTGAGTTTCATCTGGTTGACCAAGCTCCTGATCCGAACGTTCATGGGCTGTTTCGGGTCCTTGTAACGGGTGTCAATGGGCGGGTTTTGGGCCAAAGTGGAGGCACATGACGCTAGTAATAGGAGGAGGCCCAACATTTGGACTTTGGACGTCATCATCATGATTCTCTACTTGAATACAAATAGTGCTCTGCAGAAATTAAAATGGAAATATCATCAAAACCTGGGCACCAAATTAATTATTAGGCTAAGCATATTAGTACGAGTAACATGCATGTACGCACACACACCCATATATATATATATATATATATATATATATATATCTTATTTATTAAAAAAATTATTACTAATTGTACGTTTGGTAATTAAGGTATACTAATTAAGTTGAAAGTATTTTATTATGAGTAATAACTAAAAGGAATTAAGAGGCTTTAATTACCATAACAGTCAGACTGTGCGGCAGACTACTACTAGTCAGCTCAGCTACTTGTTTGACTTTGGTTGCCGCTGACTCGATCGTAACTTCCACGAATGTATGTAATGTGGCTAACACTTTTTACTGCTCCATTTTCTTCCTCCTTTTGTATTACTAGTCTTTTTCTTATTTTATTTTTATTATTATTTTTTTATTAAATATATATAAGCTTCACCTATATATTTTCAACACATATATACAACAGTGTACTCTTGTGACCTTCAACATTATATTGGCAATATTAATTATTCCATCCAAATTCAATGGAATTAATAATAATAATATTCCATTCGATTGCTTCTTCAAAAATATGATTGTTCATTTTGCATCAAGAAACTGTAAAACAATGAAATAAAACTCAGCTTGCTGTAACCTCATTTATTAATTATTATCTCATAATTAATTATTGAAAACTTATTAGTTACCGATGTACGTATATATATGGAGGAGAGTATCAGACAATTAAAGTTTTTGATCCAACAATCTAATCTCAATTATGGATCAAAACAACAATTATAGTTTGATGCAAAACAACATCAGATCATCAATAATCCCTTAACTGAGTCAGTGACCAAATACCAGATCATCACCATTAATATTTTGTAATTAAGAAAACTTATAAAGTGATCATTATGAATCCTTATGTATAAAGGATTAACAATTAATTAATTGGTACCATTGGATATATAGATATCTGGGCCAAGACTACATGACCAAATTAACCAGACTATTTCATAATAATGACACATCAATCAATTATAGAATTTGAATTTTATAGTTTCCCTTAGAACCCCTTTAATTAATATTTAATATCTAGTACTGTTGTATACCTTATTTGAAAAGCTACCTAAAGTAGCTTATGTGATAAGCTCGAGCTTTTTAAAAAAGCTCGTCCTACCAAACGAGACTTATTTTAATATAGGGAGCTTATAAGCTAACCAAATATGCTATAAGCTAGCTTATTTGGCTTACCAAACATACCCTAGATGGCGGGTCAGTCTCACTCTACTAATTAATCACATAATTCAATAGCATTAATTATGCGATAAAATAATATTAATATATAATTGCTTTTAAAAATCTGCAAAAGTTGGATAATATATATATATATATATATAATTAATAGATTAATTATAAGTTGAGCCACATTACCAAATAATTGCTTATTTGGATTAAGTTATACTAGTATTCTAGCATGTGTATATGCACAGATGTAAATAAAATTTAATTAGTTAAGTGTGTGTATATGTGATATTTAAAATCATATAAGTTAGATAATGAGCATATCAGATTTTAGTTTTATCAGTAGTAACAATAAACGATATAAATATAAACTATTAACATACATATTAATCTTTATATTGATTGCAATAATATATTTTTTGCAATCTTTGATGATTTTGAACAATTGAATAGATAAAAAAATATTAAAATTATTATTATTGCAATGCGCATGAAATTTTAAAATATAATTAGCTAATATTGATAAGAAAACTTGGTTAATGAGTTAAAAAAATAATAATAATAAAATAGTTTCATAAAAAGTTTTTGATTACCATATTATTTAATGTGACTTTACAATTTATTATTAGTGATTGTTACATAATAAAATAAACAAACAATATAAATATTTAATTAATTCTTAAGTAACAAAAAATGGAGGAAAACTTAAAGAATTTTATCAAATTTGTTGCTAGCAATTATATATATATATATATATAGATTTTATGATATAGAATTAAAGGGGTCGATAATAACATATATTATAAAATGGAGTAAGACTGATTTGTTTACAAAATTTTAGAATTTAGTGTCTTTCATTGTAGCAAGAGGCTGATGGAATTATTTGTGATGCTCTTTTTGAAAATTATTTATTTATTTATCATAATATTAATTGACTATCGAGTAATTTTTTAAAGAATTTTTTTTTTCTCTTTCTTTACTGTTCTAGAGTTTGTGTTGTGTTTTTGCTATAAAATTATTTTGTCAATTTTTTATTAGAAGTAATAAATACAATAAGTTTGATTTGGGAATAAAGACCATTGATAATTATTGTGATAAATGTATTAATGTTTATTAGTCAATTCAAATTTTATAATAATAAATGTATTAAGATAAATTTGTGTAGGATATTTGTGTATACAATGATGATATTTTTATTCAATGATGCATTAGTCAGTTCAAAGTTTTATTAGTCAGTTCGTTGTAGTAAGAGGCTGGTTAATATTGTGTATACAATGATGATATTTTTATTGTATATGATATTTTTTTTATCCTTATAACATTTTTCTCTCTTTTTATAGGTTGAGGTTGAAATCAAGAGTTGGTGAAGTTTGATTTTTTGTAGAGAGTGAATTTCTAACAATTTTTATATTTGTAATTGGTTATACGGGACAATTTTTCTTCATCATTATTTATTATAGTACATTATTAATTTTAGAGAGTAATATCAAAATCAGTTTTATTTACTAAATACAAAATATCAATAAAGTATTAAGAATAATATGTGAAATATCATTTGAGAATCAATTTTCAATTTGATGAAGTTTTATTGATTATTGGGTTAATTATGTATTTATTATTAAAAACAAATGAATTAAAGGTGAATATAAAGTAGAAACAAAATTGTAGCGGTTTTGTATTAATGAGATTTGATAAAAAAACAAAAAAGTCAAAGGTAACTGATTTAGGCGAGAAAATGATTGAGGTTTTATTAAATGTTTTATTTAATGCATCTGTCAGCAATTACATATATATATATACATATATATAGATGTGCTTAATTAATTAATTAATTAATTAATTAATTAATTAATTAATTAATATTTCAATATTTGTCACGGTTTTGCTATATATCTTTCTTACTATATACTATGCACCGACTAATCCATTGGTCGACCTGGGTCGCACACCTGGCAGTGGGTGGGTGTTCGCTAATTATTTTTGCTATCCGCAAGTGTACAGCGTAGCTATAGGTAGTGGCGAGCAAGGTCGTATTCCACAGAGATTGTAGTTAAATTAATTAAGTACTAAAATAATGACGATTAAATATTATTTAGACTAACGAATGAGATGATGATTTTAAACTATGAAATTAAACTAGGAACTGATTTACCTAAAAGAATAAAAATAAATCAAGATATAAAAGATAGATTATAGGTTAAGTGTTCCTCAGAATTAATTCATGAAACGTTTATATTCAAACAAACCTTATTTAATTTTACCAATCGTAGAGATAATCTCTAAATTGATTTCAACTTTTCTCTCGAACAAGCAAATCGTAGATATTAATTGTTATCTATCTCCTCTCGGTCTCAAGATGAACAACTAACTCCCATAAGTTCCTAGGATTTTCGTTCTCTCGCAAGATTCTATCAACCTCTTGGTCTGTTTAGTCTCCTACGTTATAAATTTCCCAATTCTAGCAATCAATTATCTTCTCTCGGTCTCAAATCAATTACAAATATGCATTCATAGTGGCCATCTACTCAATAAATATACACAAAAGAAATTTATAAACGAAAGATAAACCGGAATGAAAGAAATAAAAACTAATCATAAATCAATCCGAGTACTAACAAATTCTATAATCTAAATAAATCTAGCCTAGAAACATACTTTCAAAATAAGAAAAATAAATATAAAAGATTGAGTTCGAAAGAGGAAAAGAAAAAGAAAGAAAAAGCTTATTCGGCTCCGTCGATCTCTTCTTCCCAGGCTTTCTCTCTCGTCTTGCTCGTGTTTCTAGCCTCCAAAGCTCTTCAAAGATATGAAAATTAGGTCCCAGCCTCCTATAAAACGTGCCCAAGTGTTACTTATATAGTTGAGGTCGAGTCCTAGTCGAAATAGGTCAAAAATCCCAAAAAAATAGGAAAAACGCGTAAAACCGGATTTTGCTGCGCCCAGGGTCACACGACTCGTGTCACATGCCACACGAGTCGTGTGAAAAAGTCGAGAGCTGAATTCACGACCCGTCGGAAGACTCGACTCGTGTCTGGAGCTCACACGACCCGTGTCGACCTGGAGGGCTGAAACTTCTTTTCACGGCTGTTCTCGGATCCTGGCTCGTTATACGGAGTCTTAGGCTTCTTCCGGTGGTCGTACGTGGCATCTAGGTGGTCAGAAGACATCCAGGTCGCCGGACATGGAGGTTCCCGTCGGCGAACGTCAACCTGTGTGCACTTCCTCCGGAGCATACGGCGAACACCTTCTTCTTCTCGATGACAGAATGGCGACGGCGGTTTGAAAGTGGTCTCCGGTGGCTGGGTAGTGGTGTGGTGACGCGGTGAAAGCTTGGTCGAGCACTTCAAAGCTCAACAATGGC